GGAGTCTCATTCTGTTGCCCAGGCTGGATTGCAGTGGCACACTCGTGGCCACTGCAGCCTCTCAACCTGCTAGGCTCATGGATCCTTCCGCCTCAGCCTTCCAAATAGCTAGAACTACAGGTGTGTACTACGCCCGACTTATTTATTTATTGTAGAGACAAGGTCTCACCAAGTTGCCCAGGCTATTTTCGAACCCCTCAGCTCAGGCAATCCTCTCGCCTCGGCCTTCCAAAATGCTGGGATTATAGGCTTGAGCCACCACGCCTGGCCTTTCAACAATTTTCATCCTCAATTTTTGATCTTCAGGAGTCTGCCTTACCCTTTAATTTGTCCCATTACAATAGAGTGACTCTGTTTACATACTTACACAATCCAATTGTATGAAAAAAATTCCTTTAAGGCATCATACCCAATTTAGTGTTAGGAACAACTGTCTTACTACTGACAAGAAAATCACCTATTTATTAAACTTTTAAACCCTTAAAGGTGACCTTATTGTATTTATTGATAAATATTGACTTAATCATTCAATAACATCATTGTAATAGCCTCATTTGAAAGTACTTTATTCATGCTGGGCTCGGTGGCTCAGCCTGTAATCCCGCGCCTTTGGGAGGCTGAGGTGAGTGGATTGTCTGAGTCTGTGGGTTCGAGACCCGCCTGGGCAACTTGGCGAGACCTCATCTCTACAATAAATAAATTTTAAAAAATCAGCCAGGCGTGGTAGCACATCTGTAGTTCCAGCTACATGGAAGGCTGAGGCAGAAGAATTGCCAGAGCCTAGCAGGTCGAGGCTGCAGTGGCTGGGAGCGTGCCACTGCACTCCAGTCTGGGCGACAGAGTGAGACTCCAACTCAAAAAAAAAAAAAAACTTTATTCATATACAGCCTTGTATGAAGAACTAATTCAATGTGGATTCCTCATTTGAATAATAAATGTACACGTATTTATGTATATGGCATCACTCTGTATCCTATGTTTTTCACATATCTAAAAGTGCTTAGAGCAGTTCCTGGTACATGCTAAAGAAATGTGTTTTGTTGTTGTTGTTGTTTTTGAGATGGAGTCTCACTCTGTCACCCATGCCATGTACAGTGTGCACCTGTAGATCCAGCTACTTGGAAGGCTGAGGCAGAAGGATCGCCTGAGCCCAGCAGGTCGAGGCTGAGGTGGCCGTAAGCAGCACTCCAGCCTGGGTGATAGAATGAGACTCCAACTCAAAAATATATATATATCACTACTAGAAATCTAAATTATCATAACTTTTGTGTAGAAGTCAGTATACAAAGAAGACACCTGCATTCATGTTTATTGAAGCGCAATTCCCAATTGCAAAGATGTGGAATCAATCTAAGTGCCCATCAACCAATGAGTAGATAAAGAAAACACACACACACACACACACACACACACACACACACTATGGAATACTACTCAGCCATAAAAAAAAAAATGAAGTAATATATTTTGCAGTAACTTGGATGGAACTGGAGTCCAATATCCTAAGTGAGTAACTCAGGAATAGAAAACCAAATAGTTCATGTTCTCATTTGTAAGTGGGAGCTAAGCTATGGGTCCGCAAAGGTATGCAGAGTGGTATAATGAAACAGGAAACTCAAAAGGGGGAGGAAGGAGGGAGGCGAGGGATGAAAAATTACCTATCAGCTACAATGTACACCATTCAGGTGATGGATAAATTAAAAGTCCAGGCTTCATCATTATATAATTCATCCATGTAACTCAAAACCACTTGTACCCCTAAAGCTATTGAAGATATTTATTTCAACTTTTGTGGAAACAATTTGGCATGATCAATTTAAAACATCAAGAGAACTGAAAAAAACTGAGGCACAGGACCACACAGTTATTCTTCTTCTAGAAATCTACCTTAAGGAAATAATACAAAAAGAGGATGAAGCCCCAACATATCATGATAGTTACTAAAGAAGTATTTATTAGCTGGGCTCGGTGGCTCAGCCTGTAATCCCACGCCTTTGGGAGGCTGAGGTGAGTGGATTGCCTGAGCACACGGGTTCGAGACCTGCCTGGGCAGCAAGACCTCATTTCTACAATAAATCAAAAAATCAGCCGGGCGTGGTAGCGCATGCCTGTAATTCCAGCTACTTGGAAGGCTGAGGCAGAAGGATCGCCGGAGCCCAGCAGGTCGAGGCTGTGGTGGCCAGGAGTGGCCACTGCACTCCAGTCTGGGCAACAGAGTGAGACTCCAACTCAAAAAAAGAGAGAAGTATTTATTATAATGAACGTGAGAAAAAAAAAACTAAACACTTAACAAAATCAGAACACTTAAATTACAATATAGAATATATTTAAAATTATGTACAGAAAAATATTTATTTATTTATTTTACTACAGTTTAAAATGGGGTATGGTGCCAGCATGATGGCTCACGCCTATAATCTCAGCAATTTGGGTGCCTGAAGTGGGAGGACTGCTTGACTTTAAGAATCTTGGATCAGCCTGGACAACATATCAACATCCCATCTCTACTAAAAAAAGGTTAGCTGGAAGTAGTGGCATGCCACTGTAATCCCAGCTAACAGGAGGCTGAAGCAGGAAGCAGAAGTTCAAGACTCCAGGGAGCTATGATCATGCCCTTGCACTCCAGCTGGGTGACAGAGATCCTGTCT